CACCCACCGCCAACTCTTGGGTTACTCTTTTACCATCTCTTTTGACCGTCACAATATAACACTCCCATGGCTGAAAGGGCGAGCATGTTTGGTGGGGCCTATAATTGAGATCAAAAAAGAAATATTTTATTTTCAAAAGGTGACTCATTAGGCATATTGCTGTTTGTCTAAACTTATGAATATTTCACTATAATGAACTATTTACTCACAATTTATTTGTCTTAAAAGAAACTACTTATAAAAATTAATATCATACTTGAAAAAAATTAAAAATTTTATTTCATTTGGATTAAACACCACAACAACGTAAAGGATATTGTTACGACAGAGGGAGTCACGTAATGCTAGTAACACGTCATATTCTCGAACGTTCACGTCCCTTTCTGAAGTCTCGAGAGGTTACTAGATATGCGGTATTCTTGTATATATAAGACCGGTAAGAACTGACAGCAACAATGTAATGTAATTGAACTGCGGACAGAGAGAGACTATTGTTGGGTTGAGCGCGTGTGACGTTCGTTGTGAATTATAGCGTTTGTTTAACTTATAGTGTGACCGTTGAAATTAAGTGTATTGCAAAGTAGTATTCAGAAAGAATAAACCAGATTTATTTAAGAAAGGACTTGTATCGCTAAAGTTTCTTCGGAAAGAAATTATACGGAAAACAAACTGACGACCAGCGACGTAACAATATATTTGGCAGCCAGTATTATCAATTGAATACTCCATATTATCACAGAATTACATAAAGTGATGTTTAATAAATATATAAATGCAATCACACATACATAAATTTGTTTAATATTTTTCAGTTTATATTAAGCCTCAACAACTACTACCAAATAACGCTGCATGTATTAAAAAGGTCACCAGGGCACAGGATTTTCTTTTTGTTGTTGTTGCTTTAGTTCTTTAGGCTTGTTTTGATATGTAAAATGATTTGCCATCACAGGTTCGGTCTTCCTTTTAATGTTAATATTTACTTAACTGTTGAAATAATGTTTCCACACACAGACACACACACACATATATTATAAACAGATATGATTCGTGTGGAAATGCTGTCACTGTGACTCATGGAAATAATAACAGGTCTTTTAGAATAGACGTCCCTAAAATAATATTAGAGAGCCAACTGGAGCTATTGGCTTGTTTGTTTTGAATTTCGCGCAAAGCTATACGAGGGCTATCGGCACTAGCCGTCCCTAATTTAGCAGTGTAAGACTAGAGGGAAAGCAGCTAGTCATCACCAACTCTTGGGCTACTCTTTTACCAACGAACAGTGGGATTGACCATCACATTATAACGCCCCCACGGCTGAAAAGGCGAGCATGTTTGGTGGGGATTCGAACTCGCGACCCACAGATTGCGAGTCGAGCTCCCTAGCCACCTGGCCATGCCGGGCCAGGAGATATTGGTAAAACAAAGTTAAATATATGTGGTTCCTCTACATGTCTAATAGCTATTTCCACATAAATTCGCAGCCTGGCGATTTTTGTTTCTTCCACTTCTTTTGTGAATTGGTCCCTTTTAGACAAACAATGAGGAATTTCTAGCTTAACCCCCTTTTCCTTTAGTAAGTCTTCAATGAAAAACCCTTTATGTGCCATAACTCTGTCACCAGTTTAAAAAAGCTGGACAGTTCCAGATTGTTTTGTATTCTTTTTGTCAGAAATGGATAAGGCAAAAAGCGAAGAAACAGTTGTTATGCGTCCTGATGGTGAAATGCCAAAAGGTGTTTTAAAATTCGTTGTACACTTTTAGTTTGGATAAAATTCAGAGTTCAGACTGAATGCTGATGGTGTCTGAATTTTCAGTTCTGTACAATCTAATATTACGCATGTGGATGGATACACCTCTTTGAAACATTCGGGCATGTCATCATTCCCTTTCTTGCAACTAGACCAAATGAGAAGTGAACTTCACTGGAAACAAAGGAAGCTACTCCACGCTATAATAATCCTGCTGACAGTGGACTGTAAAACATTGAATCAACAACCAAGTTCTGCTGAAACAGGTCTAGTTTGATTTTTAGAAGAAAAAGACAAAACTGGCCAACCAATGGAAGGTTTTCTTGTCTAAATGCCAAATCTGTAGTAATGTTTTCCCATTGTTCAAGTCTTTGTCTTTAAATCTGAGACCACCTTGTCATTTTCTCTGTTGTTCGTTTTAATAAGTGGAACACATTCACAAGTAACGCATATGGTGCAAATCCTATGTAAAATAGTATTACTTTTGTTTCACTCGAGAATCTAGACAGAGCCAGTTGTCCTACATATTCCTTGAGCTGTTCAATATACTCGGTAACTTCACTTAATTTCTCTTCAGATGTTTTCTCTTCTGTTGGGGCAAGGTAGCCATAAAAGACTGGAGTAGTGTTGCCACTTTTTCAGCATCTGAGTTTTTCTTTCTTCCACAAAACTGAAAATGAAGAATAATTTAATTTAAACCCAATTCTTTGTAAATTGTTTTGAACACTATATAAATGTTGTTTTTTTTAATATTTTAATTTTCTAGTTTCTAATCACTGCGTCTTTTTTTTTTTTTTCAATCGGAGCATATGGATTTTCTGCTGGGCGTACCCACTATTCAGGGGAATATAGTTGGAACAGCATCTATGACCAGACAAGACATGCTAGCCAGAGTATCTGTGTAACCAATGGACTTAAAATGTGCAGAACACTTCTTGGTGTGAGCCTTGACCTGAAATAGTTTGAAACCGAATATTATACACAAAGATATATGTATGGCAGTCCTCGCATTTTAACTGTATCATGTACAATGGTCTATGCTAAGGGTGAGAGCTATTGTGACTGTAAACCCAGGCCCAAAAAAAGACTTACTGTAAAAAAAAGAAGAGCCGACTTCATTTTTTAAGGATACTGCTTAATAAAAATCATTCGACCAAGTCTACATATTTTTGAAGAGAGAGAAAGTTTGGGTGTGACGTGGGTAGGCCTATCGTGCGATGTATAGTGCAGATATTTGATTGGCTTGCCTCCGAATAGTGTGACAAGGTGTAGCCCCACTCTTACCTAATATATTAGGTCGTGACGAAGAATTTATTTTCGCGTTTTGAAGACGCTTGTTGAGTCTAACCCAAGGCAACACACTCATGAATTGGCCCTGAGATTGCATTTATCTCATGAAACAATAAGTAAACATCTAAGGAATTTGGGAAAACTCCATAAAGAAAATGTTTGGGTGCCTCAATAACTCTCCAATGATCATCATTTCCAACGTCTGAACGTTGCTTCGTCTCTTCTGGCGCATAATGCACGTGAACCATTTGTGGACAGAATTGTCACTGGTGATGAAAAATTGATTCTCTTTGCGAATATTAAATGGCAAAAACAATGGTTCAGTCCTAGACAAAAAACAACGTCCGACCCAAAAACCTAGACTCCATCTGCAGAAAATGATGCTTTGCATTTAGTGAGACATCAAAGGAGTAATTCATTTCGAACTCCTCAATCCACAGCCCTTCATCAGAAACGCCATTCACTCGTCAATTGGAAAGGTGTTCTTCTTCTCCACGGCAATGCACGTACACATGTGGCACGTTTGAATTGGGTTGGGAAGTTCTCCCCTACCCACCATATTCTCCAGATATGGAACAATCAGATTACCATCTTAATGGG